CCACCCAGGACCCCGGCCCCCCCTTTTTTTGCCCCTGTGTTTTGGGGGGTGGGCCAAAATTCGAGGATTTTTCGTTTTTCCGCCCTTTTGCGGATGGGTGGGTGTTTTCCTCCCCGGAGGATTTTTTTTTCCCTTTCCTTTATTCCCCTGTTTTCTTTTTGGGGCCGGGGGGGGGGGGTTTTGGCTTTTTTTTGGGGGTTTTTTTTCCCGGGGGCGGAAGTTGGGCGAGGGGCCAAGGGGAAAAAAAAGGTTCCCGGCGGCAAGGGGATAAACCCCCTTTTTTTCAAAGGGGGAAAAAAAGGGGCCCCCAAAATCCCTTTTTTGGCGGGGGTTTTTTCCCCGCTGGGGGCCCCTTTTTGGAAAAGGGGTGGGGACCAGGGAAAAATTTCGTTTCCCGGGGGGGGTCCCAATGCCTTCACCCCCCCCCGGGTCCCCCCCCCCCCCCCCCCCCCACCCCTCGTATGAAGGCATGCCGGGAATGCGATACGGTTTTCCCGGTTGGTGCTCGGCTGGACTCGGTTGTCACGAGCGAGGAGCTGCGGGAGAAGTTTAGCTTTGAGCCCGAGTTCAACAAGGACGGCACACCGATGGTGAGTGAGTGTGTCAGGGGTGGGCGGCGACTGCGGTTGGTGACGCTGATTGCGCTATTTGAGCATGGTTCAAGGTGCGTCTGTTGTTTGCTAGTGCGGTGTCAGCCGAGACTTGCACTGCGGGGCGTTGCCCTGTTTGCCTGCTTGGTACCAGGTTCGGACTCTGCTCCAAAAATGTTGTCGCCCCGCCCCCCCTCTCGCGACACGCATTGCTTCCGCCCCCGCCCCCCACCCCCACCCCCACCCCCACGCGGATATATGACCACCTCCGTATGCCTCGTGTGATCGCCCAGCAACGTATTCACCTCGGGTGCGTCCGATGCTGTACGGAATGGCCTACTCATTCGTCATATCTTGTGGACCCATTTCCTAAAACCTGTTTCCTTGCTGCTGCTGCTGCTGCTGCCGCCGCCGCCGCTGCTGCATCTGGTGCTGCCGTCGGATTGTTGCACCAGATCGAAAAGATCCTGGGGAGGCGTCCCATAAAAGAGCCGGATCCTGACGACGAAGATGCGGTGAGATACGCATACGAGGGGAACGGGGATAGACAAGTGCAGAGCCAGTCACATTGTAGTTGTACGGGAAGAGGCAAGGCGGGGGGGGGTGAGCGGTGGCGCAGACGTAAATACATAAAAAGTACATGCAGTGGGCACGATTCGAATCTCAAGGGAGGGAACGGAGGGAGAGAGTAGGCGGGAATGCATGCAAGGAGCCCATGCTGTTGGTGCACGTCAGACGAGAGGGAAACGTGAGCACGAAGTCGTTCGTAAGGGCGGACGGCAAGAGAGGGGGAGAGGGAGCAGGTGGGCAGGCTCTTACCGGACGAAAGGAGAATCGTATGCGAGTTGGGGGGGGTCAACGAGCTCGAGGGTGGCCCGGCAGACTTTTGACGGAAATGATTGCTTTTCCGGATAAAAACTGTTTCCCATTCTTCGGGAGTACAAGTCGTCCCGTGGTGACTGGTCGACAGCGGCGCAAACTTGCACAGCGACAGGTTGTTGGTCGGTTCTGAAGGCGGCGGGATTGCACCAAGTAAATCATTCCTGCTGTGGGTTTGGTTCATCGGCCGCACGCACACACGACGACGAGTTTTGTCGTTTGATTTTTTGTTTGTTTATTTCTTCTTTTTGGCAGATGTCAGTGCTAAAGAAGCACCACCGCGCGGCCCACTACGGACACTACTACGAATGCTTGGTGAAGTTCAAGGGGGTGGCCTACAACAAGGTGATTTCATGGTGTCATTTCTCCTGTAACTGTACGGAAATGTAGCCTTCTTGCACCGTCCGTGATGACCGAGGGCTCTCTCCCAAACCCTTCGGATGGTCGTGCTGAAGGGACGCTTTGTTTGTTTTCGTAGTGTTTGTGATGTCGAATGAGCGACGGGACGGTCGTTGTTGTGTGAAGCCGTCACCGCCCCGTATTTCCCTCCAAAAGTGCCCATCTGACGTCAGTATGTTTGATCCGTATGAACCTGAAATGAAGAGCCGGCGCATGGCGTTCTGTTCGAACTACGCAGATGTTGAGTTAAATTAACCTCACCCAGCCGACCCCCTGCCAATGCTTTGTGATTCCTCTGTGGTTGCTGTCCACACGTGATCTTGAGGCCCGTGCAAGGGTGGGCGCCCTTCGTTCACGCGAGAAAAAAATATTACTAAACGCCCGAGTACGTGCCTGCTAACACGTTGAACGCCGTCACTGGTATAGTCATTTCAGTGCCCTAGAACGACAACGACATTACAACGACGTGTTATCATGGCAGGTGGAGTGGATGTCGGACTTGGACGTTCGATCCTTGGGTATGGTGGCATCGCGGATGCTGACCAACTACATCAAGTCCAAGGAAAAGGAGGGGTACGAGAAGGGGGAAATGGGCTCCGAAGACGAGGAGTACTTCGACCCAAACTACCTAGAGGTATGCTGCATGACAAGTAACCGAAGTTGGAAAACGACACTTTTCTTTTTGGCCACGATTTCCATCCGTGCTACTTGTGTTCGTGTCTTGTACTCATTGGTGGTCCTACTGTTCCTTTCGAATCCTTCTGGTGTTGGAACACGCACACGTTGTCCCGCGTATTTCTTCGCGGAACGCATTTCGGTAGAAAAAACGGTGTTCACCGCCCCACTTCGCGCGCTCCCTCCTTTCCTTTCGTCCTTGTCTGATTTCTTTTGTTACGGGTACAGGGTAGTTGTGGGTGCGTGGGGGCTCGGGTACACGAACCATCAAACAAAAACTTGCGCACGTTAGCGACACCCCTGTAGCGTTGTGCGTGTTTTTTTCAATTGACATCGACGATGGTCTTAGAGCGGGATAATAAAGTATGCGCGCGCGTTTTCATGTGTGTGTGTTTCTAGCTTGATAGCATAGGCCGGGCCAACCAGCTGGCCAATCAGAATACGTGTCTTTCAACGGGATGAGAAACGCGATACCCTGCTCCCCCCGGTAGGGGTGTAGGCATGTAGACCGTGTGTGTATCTTGGTTTCAATAGCCCATATGCCAACCGGGTGGCCAACCGAGAAAGTATGAGTCTTGTACGTGTGTGTCCTGCCAATCGAGAATATAGGAGAGTCTTTTTGCGTGTGTTCGGCCAATTTGTTTTTGTTCCATGATTCTGTACGGACACCGCACATAGGTGGAAAAGGTGCTGGACTCCAAGTGGTTCAAGATGGAGCGGGAGCGGTACCCAGACGGCTTCGACCCCGCCGCGTTTCTCGAGAGTCAGGATGACGAGGAGGGAATGGAGGATGATGGCGCGGTAAGGGTTCGGTGGGAGGGGGGGGGGGGGGGGGGTTGTCATACATGGTACCACCTCTGGGCGAATATATATATGCCTCGTTTGGATACTTTGAGGCACAGACACCAGTCTTCAGACCGTTGGGGGGTGGCTGCCGGGAAGGGTAGTACTTGTCATGCATTGTAGCCTCCGTATCGTTAGACTTGACTCGTCATCCTGGCTTTTGACGGGATAGAGCTCTTTGGAGATGGAGGGGGGAGGGAGAGCACTCAGGTTTTTGCGGTTTGTCTTGAGGCTATTTCTGGTGGTCGTACCCGCCGCCTGGACCGAGAATGGTGGAGGGGCGACTTAGTTTTTATGCGGAGGTCAAACTCATCAAGGGGGGGCTAGGGTTGACATGCGATTTTTTCGGGTCGCGCGCGCATGCACCGTGTGGTTGGTTGTGACCATCGCCGCAAGCGCGGACGTTTGGGGGTCTCTCTTACGGTAAGTGACCCCTTGTGGTAGCCATCCCTGTTTATTCTCGAGCCGCTTCCAACAGCACGAGAGCGCGGGGGGGGGCGTACTCATTTGTTGCTTGCCGTAGTCATTTGACCATTGACCACGCGTCCCTTTCGAGACGGAGCACCGTTCCTACACCTACTAGAGACACCACCAACATTTGGGAGCTCTTTACGTTTCTGCCACAAACTCCATAAAAATTTCTTGCACATCTTATCCCCGTCCTCTAGGGCCTCTTGTGCCCACCATCTATCCCCAATTATCGCGATCGTTTTTTCGCTGTTGTCTAATTTACCAAACTTGTCCATGTCACACCCTCTCTGTCTCATTTCCTCCTCGAGATCCTCTCTTTCCTTCCTGTACAACTCACACTCCCCAACTATGTGGGGTCTACTCTCCTCCGATTTGCCACATGGACATGTGTGTCTATCCTCCTCTTCCTCTCTCCTACGGCTGGTATACCTCTTCCTCCGTTCTGGCAAGTCCAGATCGCCTACTCGAAATTGCAATTTCAGCTTTTTCGCATAGTCCATGGGGCCGTCCAAGTACTTCTTCATCCCTATCCCTTCTTTCAACTTCCCGTATATCTCCAAGTGGTCTTCGCTTCGTACCTTCTTGCGAAGGGTTGTCTCCTCCCTACTCTCTAGCATCTCCTTGACTTTCGTCTTGAACCCCCCGAACCCTTCCGTGTCCAACGTCTCCTCCTCGTCTCCTATCTCCTTCCAAACCTTCTCTACCACCTTGTCCCATCTGATTCCCTTCTTCCCTGGAGTCGCTTTTCCCCAAGCTGCCTCGTCAACCATGGCTGGTAGTCTATCGTCCGACATTCTACTTACCTTGTACTGCCACTTCAACTTCTGCATGTCTCTCTTTGTTTTAAGAGAGTACATTCCCAATTCTGCTCTCAATACAGTGTTGCTCGTTGTGCTTGAACATCCTAGTATTTTCTTGGCCGCTGCCATCTGCACCGTTTCCAGCTGCTTGACGGCCTTTTCGTTACCTTCCCATATCTCTCCTGCATACTCTAGCTTAGGTACAATCACCTTCAAGAGAATACACCTCTTAATCCTAGTGTCTAGGTGTGGGTCCGTAAGGATCTCATCCATCTTGCCTATCTGAGCTTTACCCTTCCCAATCAACTTCGCTATGTGTGCGTCCCATGAGCACTCCTTCGAAATCTCTACTCCCAGGTACGTATACTTGTCTACTACCGGTAGTTCTTCCTCCCCCCATTTCCATTTGAATTCTACGGGATTTTTCTTATCTTCGTTACAGACCACTACTGCGCATTTTCCTACGTTCGCCGACAGTCTCCATTTTCGGGTGTATCCTACCGCCGCATCTATTTGTTCTTGCAACCCTTCTGGTGTTTCGGATACCCCCACGAAATCATCTGCAAACATCAGTCCGGACACACTCTTTCCCTCTACTTGGACTCCCTGTCTTACTCGCTTCAACCGCCCTTATCAAATCGTTGATGTAAATCTTAAAAAGAGTGGGTGACATCGTACAGCCCTGTGCGACTCCTTGGAGTATATCCACGTACTTCGAAATTTCCCCATCCAACATCACCGCACTTCTTGTGCATTCTGTCATCTTTTTCAACATCCTCCACATTTTCCCCCGGATGCCGATGTCCCACATCTTTTTCCACAATCCATTGCGCCATACGGTGTCGTAGGCTTTTTGTATATCGAGGAAGAAACAGTATGTCGTACGCCCGGCGTCTTTCCTACCTTGGATGATTTTACTCAACGTATATACATGGTCTACACAACTACGATCTGGTCTAAATCCAGCTTGTCCTTCGCTGATCTTTTGTTTCCCCTCCAACATGTCTCCCATTCTATTGTCTATCATCTTGCCAAACAGTTTCCCCACTGTGCTCAACAGGGTTATCCCTCTATAATTCCCCGGGTCAGCTTTATCCCCCTTTTTGAACAGGTTCACGACTACTCCTTCTCTCCATCTCTTCGGCGCGTACTCGTGTTTCCATATCCAGTTGAATATCCCGGACCAACATGTTAAATCATCCCCTCCCCCCCCTGTTTCAAAAGCTCGTTCACAATTCCATCAGCCCCTGCCGCTTTTCTATTCTTGAGTTTCGCTACGCAGTCCTCTACCTCTTCTCGTGTGAACTCTCCCTGCAACCCGTCTACATCACTACGTTCCCTCTGAGATCTTTCAACGTTTTCCTCTGCCCACGAGTTGATTTCCTTCTCAAACTCCGAGTCGAAGTTGTCGTTGGTGGTGGGTGTCCCAAGTTTGCGGTAGTGCTCTACTAGTACTTCCCTCTTTCCTTTAGAACTGCTTACCATCTTACCCTCGGCAGATCTTAGTGTCGTTATTTCCGTGTCTCCCCCTCTTTTCTTGCCCACTATCCCTTGAATTCCTACCCACATTTGCTTCATCCCCCCCTCAAAATCTTCGTTAGTCTTTTGGACTACTTCCTCCCACAACCCTTTCTTCTTCTTCACGACCAACTCCTTCACCCTCTTTCTACTTTCAACATACTCCTTCCATCCTGCATCTGCAGCGCGGGGGGGAGGGTTACGTGAAATCGGATGCGACCGGTTGTATTCCTCCCTCCTATCGCTCTCAACCCTGCTTTGATTGCTTTCGTGAATCGCATGTAAAGGGTGCTTGCTCTGCAATAGTCGTGGTACCTCTTTTGCAGTCGCCACGGACCGTAGTGACGCGTACTCAATCTGCGTACCTTGCTCCTCTTGCGCATGTTATGCCCCCCTCTCCCCGGAATGTATGCGCCTGTCTATGTTTGCGTGGGTGCAGCTGGACGAGCCGCCCGCGGAGCGCACGCCCCCGCCCGAGTGGGAGGACGAGGGAGTGGCGATTCCCCTGCAGGCAGGGAAGAGGACGAAGGAGGACCCCGACTGGCGGCCGATGACTCGCTGCCGTCACGTCCTCTCCGCGGTAGGCTTCTTTATTTTTTTTGGTGATGTGATTGTCATGACCTCGGTGAGACGGCGGTGTCGGGGGCCTTTTCCTTGTCCGCGTGCACCGAGGCGATGTATGTGCATGTGTGTCGGGGGTCTTCGTTGTACGCATGCACCAAGCGATATGTGTGTGTGTGTGTGTGTGTGTTTGTCGTGATGTTGAGACGTCATGACCTCGGAAGGACGGCCGTGTTGGCGGTCCTATTTGTACGCATGCACCAAGCGAGGTGTGTATGTGTGCGCTGTGCAAGTTTGGAAGGTTCCGTCGTAAATGCACATTTCGTTGTTTGATCCGCCGCGTTTGGGGCAACGTGCACGCACTCACGTTGCAGTATCGTTGACGGCGCGGTGGCGGGTCGTGGCGGTGGATAGGTATCCTCCTGTTGGTTTGGTTGTCAGTGGTGTTGCGGTTCCTCTCGTGGAATCTTCTTCCCCCCCGGCGAGACCCGAGATTCAACCGTCGTTTCTGGCGTGATCTATCAACCTACACTCAGCGCAGCGGACGAACGTTGACTTGTTCGGTGACGACATATGCGCCGCTGGTCTCTCGCCCAGTACCACTTTTTTTTTTCCCTGTAAAAGTTCTCCCTCGTGAACGTGCGCAGCCAAACACCAAGTCTGTCATTTTTTTTTGTTTCGTCTGTCGCCACGGCCGCAGCTGATGGAAGACGACCTTTCCCTGGTCTTCCACGACCCGGTGGACCTGGACGCTTACCCGTCGTACGAGGAGAAGGTGGACGAGCCCATGGACTTGGGCACCATCAAGGGCAAGCTGGACAACTGGGAGTACCGCCGGAACGACCCCATGGGGTTCCTCAGGGACGGCCGCCTCGTGAGTCGACCTAGAGGAGAGGCGTCGAAACTCACGCGTTGCTTTTGGCGTGTTTTTTTTGTCTGTGTTGTGTGCATCGAATGCAGTAACCGGCTGACCAGACGTCAGTGTCTCTTGCGGCTGGAAGCGAAGAATGCTTCTAGAGGCCAGGATGTGTTTGGTGTCTTTTGTTGTTTGCATCGACTGCGCTTTGGCCGGCTGGCCATTGAAGAAACGTCAGTCTGAGTGCGGTCATAAACGGAAGACGGTTCTACGGCTACCATGACGTGGGATCCCGTGAGGGGGAGTCATGGGGGAGCTAGTTTGTGTGGGCGTGTGGATTGTCAAGTGTAGTTTTGTTTCCGTTTTGTTGTCAAGAAGTGGCGTTTCGGGGTCTTTTCACGCGATGCGTTCCTTTTCCGATATTTACTGCATTTCAGCCTATTTGGTTGACTACTCGAACTTGATTGGGTTTAACTATGGTACCCAAAAATGGGCAGTGTAAGTTAATTTGTTTTGAGCTGTGCGTATGAATACATGTATCCAAAATCTTTGTGAACGTGTGAATCACTTTCTCCTTTTCTCACGCTTGGGGTCGTTTTCGCCCATCCCGCGCGGACGTGACGGGAAATCGCACGGCCACCAACAGGTGTTCACGAACTGCAAGGTGTTCAACAAGTTCGGGTCCGCGATCTGGTACATCGCGGACTATCTCCAGGCCAAGTTCGAACGCCTCTTCCAGGTGTGTTGCTGCTCGTACTCTGCTACATCTCTGCGGCGCCAACTGATGCTGACCGTAATTTTCGTGCTACTTATGCATGTATGGTGTCTGGTCGAGGTACCACGGAAGAACTACCGTCCAACATCATCCTTGAGTGGGATCTGTTTGGACCTCTTTACATTGACAGCAGTTGAGTGGCGCAGAGCTCGATTTGGACTCACGTTGCGTCTGTTTTCCGTCGTTGCCCTGGGACTCTCCTGCTATGCCATCGTATTTCGTTTGTTTCAGGCGTGGGTGATGAACTTCGGGGACAAGGACGACCGCATCCCCTGGGAGGAGCCGAGGGCGAGGCCGTGGGAAGAGTGGTGCCGCAAGTGTGTCGGGGTACGTCAACATTTTGAAAATGATCCGATACTTGATACCGTGATCCATGCGGTTAGGTTCTCTGAAGGTTGGTGTACCACGTCATTCGTTTGAAAGACAGAGCCTTCCAAGAGCATGTATCAAGGTTAGAGCATGTAAAAAGCTTAGTATTTGCATTCGGCGTACTTGACGAGGTGGAAATATATATGAATGGGGTGTGTTTGTGTTTCCTCCGTGGTACTCGGAGTATTGGTCAGTTATGGCGTCGTCGTGTACAACAACAGTTCCTTAACTGTTTCGGTTGCGACCACAAATTCATTTTTTCGGTCACATAAACACAAACCGTTCCGACCTTTGCTCAGTACCCTCGAACGTCCCGACTGGTTTTCATTGATGTACTTCGCGGTGTTGGTACAATACGTTCCTCGCCCACTTCGCTCGCGTACTATAGTTAACCCCAGACAGGTTGACTTCTCTCTACACGCGGGCACGAGAGAGAGGATGCATTTCAGCTTGGTTCGCGTACCGTTAAGCGTTCTCGTTTCCCCCTTCCCTGCCCTCGTGTGCACTTTTGTTTTCCTGCGTCCATGCCTGCTATCGCTGCTGCAACCTCCCTCCCTTCAGCCGGAGCGGAAGAACAACAAGATGCTGGTGTGCGACACGTGCGATGCCGAGTACCATCTTAAGTGCCTCAGGCTCTCTTCGGTAAGTCGCGTCGGCGGGGAGATTGGCATTGTGTGATTAGCGTTGTCGATCTTGCTTCTGTGATGCGTAGAGGAAAGAAACGACCGAGCAAATACTACGATGACATGATGATCATCCCGACGCTCCCTGTCATTGCACCGTCCCTAATCTTTGCGCCCCTCCTCCCTGCTCTTTTCACCGGACCAGGTTCCCAAGGGCCAGTGGCTTTGCCCCATCTGCACGGTAATGCTTCGCAAGGGGCAGACTCTGTTCTCCCACCAGACTGAGGTCGAGAAGGCCAAGCTGTCCCAGATGCCGCAGCCCACGGTAAGGAAGAGAGAGAAAGGGAATCGTTTTTTTTTTTTTTTGGGGGGGGTGGGGTATGGCGACAGGTAAATGGGGGCTGCGGTGATGTTTTTCTTGCACTTGAGAGGACAGGTTGTCGGGAATGGATGGGGTTATCAAGCAGCTGGGCCTGGCTGCATTTGGTAAGTTGCCTGTTGTTTGATGAGGTAAGTTGCTACGCTGCTGTTGCTGCTGCTGCGGCGGCGGCTTCCGGTACCACTACCGGACGGCTCTCCATCTCTTGCTGTTCGAAAAACAATAACCCTTTGAGTGGTATTCTCACAAAAGAGTAAGGTCGTTGGGCTCACGCAACCCACGAGCTGATTCTACCATTGTTGTGTTGTTCTGAACCCACCATTTGTTGTTGTTTTTTGTCGTTTCCGCTGCTGTTGGCATGTGTGCGTGCGATTTATCAGGTTGAGGTTGTGGACGAGCTCAAGTACCTCATCAAGTGGAGCGGGCTTTCCTACCAGTTCTGCACCTGGGAGACGCGGGAAGAGGTGCGTATATTCATTCGGCATGCCACCGCGGCAATGCCAAGAAGAGTGAAATGTTTTTGGTGTGTTTAAATAAAGTGACTTTATTCTCTTGTTTGTTATTTCTGCGCGTAGTTTGCTGCGTTGCATACACGGAGGACTTCATGGGTGCGTCAAGCGTCGTGAAAACAGCACCTACTTCCCAGCCGCGTGTGCCCCATCCCTTCTGTGCAGGGATGCGGAGGAGTTATATTTAGTCTGCCCCGTTTGACAATCCATGACGATTCAACCCTCACTGATATGAATGATGGCGAATTAAATCATTGAGCGCATCGAAACAAGACGCCATATTATTGCACTCGGCCTGTTGAAAATCGAGTTTTTGGGCGTGTCGGTCCCGGCCCAGTGACTCAGCAACGCGGCACACACACGTCCCCAGCCGTAACTGTCTGCTTTCCGTCGTTTCCGCCCCATCTTTTTCCCTGCCTGTGATGCCAGAGTCACTTTGTTCGCGTTGTTGTGTTGCCGCTTGTCTCACTTTTTCCTTCTCGTTTTTTTGTTTTTTTGTTTCTTGGTCCATCTTTTTCCCTGCCTGTGATGCCAGAGTGACTTTGTTCGCGTTGTTGTGTTGCCGCATGTCTCACTTTTTCCTTCTGTTTTTTTTTTTTGTTTCTTGGTCCATCTTTTTCTCTGCCTGTGATGCCAGAGTGACTTTGTTCGCGTTGTTGTGTTGCCGCTTGTCTCACTTTTTCCTTCTCGTTTTTTTTGTTTTTTGTTTCTTGGTCCATCTTCAGCTCAACAATGACGGGGCGATCGACCGATTCCACAAGCTCAACGACCACCCGCCCCTGAGCCCGCCCATGTCAGAGGTACGTACGCACACGGTTCGTGATGCGTTCGCCGCGGGTACCAGTGTTGGGAGTTTGCTTTGCCTCTTCTTAAGTAAACACAAGAGTTGATTCACCTCCGTCCACAGACAGGCGTCTAAAATATAGCAGCTATGAATTCAGAGTGTCGCATGCTGTTTTGAGCTATCCTGCGGTGTTACTTTTTGCCCTTCCTAGCGTTGGTGTGCTCTAGCCCGCAGGGCGGAATGGTCGTTGATGCTGCATCAATTCTGGCCTTGCCTCTTTTCGGTGCCGTACAGTATGAAGCTGACGCCGCAGCTGCTACCACTTTCTGGTGTAGTGTATGTCCTTGTGCATGCGTTAGTAGTGTTAATTTTGCTATACCGCCTGTTTTTTTCACCTGGTCTATTTTCTCTCTCCTTTCAGCAGCTACGTCTGGTAGGGTCGGGGTCGCATGGATGTCTCGCTCGCCGTTAGGCACCCGCCTTCCTAGCCCTGTGAACCCCTTCGGTTTTTGTCAATGCGCCTCTGTTGCTTTTTCTGGGCCATATTTCCCTTCGAATGTTTTTTGTGTGCCGTTTCTTTGATGGTAAGTTGACCTGTGACCTCGGAAGGGGTCCTCGTCAGTTGGACCGGTACGGATGCAACAAGGTACCGAGAAGAAACTAGATTTCTTTTCTTTTTTTTTTAAGACAACACCAACCGTTCGAAAAGAAACTGTTTTTTTTTTTGTAAACAACACCAACCGTTTTTTTTTTGTGTCGTGCGCTAGCACCAGAGGGGTCTGAAAGAAAAAAAGGCCAGCTAGAATACAAACGTGAGTGTCGGGAAAGCGTTGGCGTTCTCGGCTGCTGACTTCCCCACAACACGCCCAAGTGTAGATCATAACACACACCTCTATGTGCGATTGCGTGGATTTTTCCATCTTTGACGGTTCGAACAGGAGGAGCTGATGCGGACCCTGGCCAAGAACAACCACGACGTCCTGCCGGCCCTGCTCGAGCCTAGCTCCATGCTCGAGTACAACGCGCAGATTTACAGCCAGGTACTGCATGCAGTTGGAACCGAAGACCTACAGTAATGTTGCGAATGGGCCGTGGAGCCGGCGAAATAGTTTTTTGAGGCCTTCCTGCCTTGAACTTGTAGTGTTGGGTCGTGCTTTCGTGTCGTGCCGCGGAATTCGCGGTTTTGTGTTGCGTTCCGTCACAAGGTAAACGGGAAGGTTTTTACGGGTATCCACTTTGTTTGCGGTTCGTGCAGGGGGACCGGCCACAATGCATGCCGTTACTTTCGGGCGATAATATCTTGCGCAATAGCGGGACCAGAGGCATACCGTATATCGCGTGTGTGTTAACTTCATTGTTTTTGGTACTTGGGAGTGTCGACGTAGACTTGGTTGGCCCTCCCTCTTCTCCTCCTCGGTGTGGGTCTATTTATCACGGAGGCGTCCACCCACTTTTTTTTTTTTTAGGGAATTCGTTGATTATTTTCCCACTCCCGGATGCTCGATTTTAATTGTGCCGCACGACGGTGCATCGTGGTCTGTTCGTTCAGATTCGGGCGTTCCACTTCCTGCGGTGCGGCATGTCGCCCCCGACGGGGCTGCTGAGAGAGTGCGGGAAGCCGACGTCAGGCCTCGGAGAAAGCAAGGTGCGGCGTGACTTGCTTGTGCCGCGATGTGTTTATTTTGCATGTGCCACTCACTCACGGGTTTTGGCAGGCTTTTCCTGTCTCCGCGTGGTAATTGTTTGCAATGCTGCGGTGTGTTTCTGTCGCATATGCCAAGAAAAACGGTGCGGCGTAAATTGGGTGTTGGCAATGCTGCGGTGTGTTTCGTTTGCATGTGCCACTCATTCACCGGCCTGGCAGGTTTCGCGTCTCGGGGCAATGGTGGACGCTTATCGCAAGAGTTGCGTGTTGCAGCAGCCCGTCGTGATGAAAGACTGCCACTCCCGTAGTAGAACGTATAAGTATACATTGTATGGCCGTCAAACAAAATATGAAGACTACCCATGGTCGTGTTGGAGTCTGTACGGTGGGGCTTGATGGCGTTCCCGACGGAAACTGCACTGAATTGAATCTGCTCGCGAGTGTACGCTGAGAAGAAGCAGGTTCCACCGAAGAGTTTTGGTTGCCTGTACAAGTAGTTTTTTTTTGTAGTTTTATTTTGTTCTTTTCTCGAAAATGGCACTTTTTTGGTCACTATTTTGGTCGCTACCGGACCTTTCTTTGTCTGCTTTTGTCGAATCACCACACGCTCCATATACGTTTGCACGCTTACCCTGCGCCACCCCCCCGATGGACTTCATTCACTCTTGCCCGCAGGAGGCGGTGGAGAAGGCGGCGGTAACCGGTGCGGCTTCCCAGGCACCCTCGAGAGCCGAGGAAGACGCGGACGAGATCAGGTCGCTGTTGTTCGACATGAAGCACTCGATCTCACACGCGACGAAGTACGAGGCTCCCCCTCGGACGGACATGGCTCCGCTCCCGATGCACCAGTATGAGTACGAGGTGCGTGGTCTTGGTGTTGTTGTTGTTGTTGGTGGTGGTGGTGGTGTTGGTGCTGCTGCTGTTGATGCTGTTGCTGTTGTTGTTGGTGGCGGCGGCGGCGGTGGTGTTGTTGCTGTTGATGCTGTTGATGCTGCTGTTGTTGTTGCTGTTGTTGTTATTGTTTTCGTTGTTGTTGTTGTTGTTGTTGGTGCTGCTGCTGCTGCTGCTGCTGTTGATGCTGTTGCTGTTGGTGGTGGTGGCGGCGGCGGCGGTGGTGTTGTTGCTGTTGATGTTGTTGGTGTTGCTGCTGTTGCTGCTGTTGTTGTTGTTGTTGGTGGTGGTGGTGCTGCTGCTGCTGCTGCTGTTGTTGCTGTTGCTGTTGCTGTTGTTGTTGGTGGCGGCGGCGGCGGTGGTGTTGTTGCTGTTGATGCTGTTGATGCTGCTGTTGTTGTTGCTGTTGCTGTTATTGTTTTGGTTGTTACCGTTGCTTGATGTGGTGGTGGTATCTGCACCAGCGCGCGTGGCGGCCCGCCAAAGCAATGCTCCAAGGTGGTATCGTCACGACACACGCTCCGAGCTAGTTATCCCCTTCCCTCTTTCCCGACCCAGGTGACCCTTCCTAAGGAGCACGGCAGCCTGTTCATGAACATCCACCAGCAGGACCACCACGGCATCATCTGTGTCTCGGTGTCGTCGCTGTGCCCCAGGTACAAGAGTGGGACAGTTGTTTTCTTGCTCATACAGTCCAAACGTGTTTTTTTTTTCTGTCGGTTTTGCCGCAAATCTTGCTAGACCAAATGAAGTCGATTTTGTATACAACATGTGCCGTGTGTTTTTCGCTCAGATGCATGATTATTTTTTGGGGGGGGGTTGTGACAAGTTGCGTTCTGGGAGAACGTGTCTAGTTCCATTTCCAGGAGGTCAAAACAGATAATTCCAAAGTGAATTTTTGACGCGCCACCTGCACCTATCCTTGCTTTTCTTCGTCGGCCTGTGAAAATCCCTTCCCGTTTTTAACAGCCTGTGAAAATCACTTCCCTTTTTTTTAGAGCCATCTGCTTTTCTTGTGTCGTACATATCCTCCCCGTGCTTGCTGACTCCGCGACACCCCCGCTTTTGTGTTTACCAGGATGCCACCTAGGCAGCGCGAACCCACGCCAGTGATGCGGTCGCGCATGGTGGAGGTCGGGGACGTGATCACGGCCATCAACGGACAGCCCATGGTCGGCCAGAACACCTCCGTCGTTGCTAACGCCCTCCAGGCGCTGCCGGCCTGCGTTACCCTGCGCCTGGTGAAGTACGGTTTCGACTTCGTCCCGGATGTGGTGGTGAAGCAGGTGTGTATATGATTGGCATCTCACCGGCTGACGAATGAAACGAAAAGGCGTGGTCAGTCTTGTAGCGGGGTGTAAGAAACGCAAACATTTTCTAGCCAAAGGGTACGGGTTTTGTCGACAGGTGGGTTTGCGTGTTTTCTAGAATCGAACGCGGTTTCCGATGGACCAATGGCACGACATCAGTCTCGCTGCTGGTGTGTTGTGCGTCCCCTTGAGAAGAGTTCTTTCGGAGTAAGCAAGCGTAAGGGCGGGGGATCTAATATAGCCTTGTAGAGGAATCCCACCGATGAACCGACGCCACAGGCACAAGGGATGAGGGTGGTTGGTTTGAACATCGAACTTGTGCTTTGCAACCCTATCTCAGTCGAACGAACCACGTGGCAATTGAAACCCACGTACCGCACTTTTTCTTTGACCGCTGTTGCCACCTTTGATGGCGTTCTCATGTGTGCCTCAATTGATTCAAATCACCATCTCGTATCTGCCAGTTCTAACTTTTTACGGTTGTTTCATGTGCCCCCCCTCGTTTCGTCTCTTTTCGTTAACACAAATGAAATACAAACCCTTGCGCGAAGACGACGTGGGCCAGGGAATTCGAAGCCCGGCTCGATGCCGGGACGCCATACGTCGACCCGAACGCTCGTCCTAAGGTCGATGAGTCCGCGCGATGGCAAGACAGAATCGAGGTGTGTAAACGCGGGTGGGGGGTGGGTGGGTGGGTGGGTTCCCCAGCGTTATCGAGAATAACGAGTTGTGCACGGAGAAAAAGTCTCTTGTTTGTCTTGCGTGAGTTATTTCGCACGACCGCAGCAGCCGCGGACGTTCTCGCGACGTTCTGGAGAGGGCCAGCGTCCCATCTCGGCTGTGAATTTTCCTTGGAACCTTCTCTCGCGTATCTACATGTGGACTCTTGTTGCGCCCCTAACTTTTTGCCCAGCCCCGTCGCCGGCGGTTGGATGCTGACGCTTGGCGGTAGAGAGGAGTGTGCAGCGAAAAGTGAGGGAACTATTCCTCGTCTGTCGTCCCCCCTCTTTACACATGGGTGGGTGTCCAGTTGGTTTTGGCGACGGAGGCTGTTTTTGTTTTCTTGCAGCGGTGCAGAATCTGCGCACTATGGCGTTGTTGTTGTTGTTGTTGTTGTTGTTGTTGTCTTCACATTAAACTCGTGTCAGTTGCTCATCCCGAAATCTAGCGAAGACGCGGTCCGTGGTCACAAAAATGCTAGAGCCATCAGACGATCTAAAGAACACGCAAACTAGCAAGAAATGGGTACACAAGCCCGACACCTTTACGTCCCTAATGCAGCACGTTTGCGTGCCCAAAACTGAAGTACCCGCCACACACTACATTCGACTACAGCAGCAGCATCCCCCCCTGTCCCACACTTTACCAAAATAAATGTTTGTCGACTACAGCGTACAGCTGTCTGGAGTGCTGCCAGTACAATAACACCATGGTAGGCATGGCGCAAGTTCGGGGCGCGCAGCTGCCGTCTGAAGTGCTGTCAGAATGCGTTCGTGGACATACAGTGAAAAAGAACACCCAACCAAAGCCATCATTGCAATTGACAATCACCGAATGTACCCCCGGATCATCTATCTGTGTTGGACATAGCAGTGTAAATTATCGACACTGACTAGGAATCGTTCCACATTGAAGGGAGGGGTCTTCCACGATGCAGGTACACAATAAAGGCACCCGGGGTATCGGCGCCATCTCTGCCGCGTCTCTCTACGACGCCAGTGGCGTCATTACACACACCCAGCACCGATGTTCAGGAAAAAAAACGGAAAATATTTGACAACACAAAATGTTCGTCCGTGCGTCACGGTTCGATGTCGTCCGTGTGCTCCGGTGCCGCTGCCCCGATGCCGCTGCTCCGGTGCCGCTGCTCCGTTGTCGCTGCGGCCAGTCCTAGCACGACCAAACTCGACCCGCTCCGTCCGTACACGCTCTCGTTGCTGTCCTTCCCAGTCGGTTCCTCGCTTTCTCCTCGTTGCACTTAGGGTTTTTGGTCTGAAAATTCTCGCGCCGAAGGGTCAACCAGCCCACTCAGCTCGTCACCACCTGTTCCCTCCTCCCCTTTGATGGCGAAGCCAGGTTACTGAGACAGTACTGCTCCCTCTAGCACACCGAGGGCCTTGCACATAGTGTCCGTCCACCTTTCTGATGGCGTCTGCCTCCGCGCACGAAACTGAGATGGACATTGCTGTCTACACCGACGGCCATGAGGCCCGCGCATCTACATTTTTGTACCTGACGCACCAGTGCCGACCCAACTCTACCACTGCGCACGCCTCGCGGCGGGTGCGCAAAAAAAAAAAGGTATCGGTCCCTTGAGAGTGAGTCTAGCCATGCTCGCTAGAAAGAAACCCCCCCCCCCTCGCTATGGGAAGAGCTGGTAAACACAACAGCAAGCAGAGTTCTAGGTAGAAAGTTGATAGTTTGTAAGAGAGCAGTGAAGTGGTGGGACGAAGAAATCAAGCAAGCAATTCGAGTACGTAGAGAGTCACACGCAAAATATGCGGCAGGGAAAACAGATGCAGGATGGAAGGAGTATGTTGAAAGTAGAAAGAGGGTGAAGGAGTTGGTCGATGAAGAAGAAGAAAGGGTTGTGGGAGGAAGTAGTCCAAAAGACTAACGAAGATTTTGAGGGGGGGATGAAACAAATGTGGGTAGGAATTCAAGGGATAGTGGGCAACAAAAGAGGGGGAGACACGGAAATAACGACACTAAGATCTGCCGAGGGTAAGATGGTAAGCAGTTCTAAAGGAAAGAGGGAAGTACTAGTAGAGCACTACCGCAAACTTGGGACACCCACCACCAACGACAACTTCGACTCGGAGTTTGAGAAGGAAATCAACTCGTGGGCAGAGGAAAACGTTGAAAGATCTCAGAGGGAACGTAGTGATGTGGACGGGTTGCAGGGAGAGTTCACACGAGAAGAGGTAGAGGACTGCGTAGCGAAACTCAAGAATAGAAAAGCGGCAGGGGCTGATGGAATTGTGAACGAGCTTTTGAAACAGGGGGGGGGAGGGGATGATTAACATGTTGATCCGGATATCCAACTGGATATGGAAACACGAGTACGCGCCGAAGAGATGGAGAGGAGTAGTCGTGAACCTGTTCAAAAAGGGGGATAAAGCTGACCCGGGGAATTATAGAGGGATAACCCTGTTGAGCACAGTGGGGAAACTGTTTGGCAAGATGATAGACAATAGAATGGGAGACATGTTGGAGGGGAAACAAAAGATCAGCGAAGGACAAGCTGGATTTAGACCAGATCGTAGTTGTGTAGACCATGTATATACGTTGAGTAAAATCATCCAAGGTAGGAAAGACGCCGGGCGTACGACATACTGTTTCTTCCTCGATATACAAAAAGCCTACGACACCGTATGGCGCAATGGATTGTGGAAAAAGATGTGGGACATCGGCATCCGGGGGAAAATGTGGAGGATGTTGAAAAAGATGACAGAATGCACAAGAAGTGCGGTGATGTTGGATGGGGAAATTTCGAAGTACGTGGATATACTCCAAGGAGTCGCACAGGGCTGTACGATGTCACCCACTCTATTTAAGATTTACATCAACGATTTGATAAGGGCGGTTGAAGCAGTAAGACAGGGAGTCCAAGTAGAGGGAAAGAGTGTGTCCGGACTGATGTTTGCAGATGATTTCGTGGGGGTATCCGAAACACCAGAAGGGTTGCAAGAACAAATAGATGCGGCGGTAGGATACACCCGAAAATGGAGACTGTCGGCGAACGTAGGAAAATGCGCAGTAGTGGTCTGTAACGAAGATAAGAAAAATCCCGTAGAATTCAAATGGAAATGGGGGGAGGAAGAACTACCGGTAGTAGACAAGTATACGTACCTGGGAGTAGAGATTTCGAAGGAGTGCTCATGGGACGCACACATAGCGAAGTTGATTGGGAAGGGTAAAGCTCAGATAGGCAAGATGGACGAGATCCTTACGGACCCACACCTAGACACTAGGATTAAGAGGTGTATTCTCTTGAAGGTGATTGTACCTAAGCTAGAGTATGCAGGAGAGATATGGGAAGGTAACGAAAAGGCCGTCAAGCAGCTGGAAACGGTGCAGATGGCAGCGGCCAAGAAAATACTAGGATGTTCAAGTACAACGAGCAACACTGTATTGAGAGCAGAATTGGGAATGTACTCTCTTAAAACAAAGAGAGACATGCAGAAGTTGAAGTGGCAGTACAAGGTAAGTAGAATGTCGGACGATAGACTACCAGCCATGGTTGACGAGGCAGCTTGGGGAAAAGCGACTCCAGGGAAGAAGGGAATCAGATGGGACAAGGTGGTAGAGAAGGTTTGGAAGGAGATAGGAGACGAGGAGGAGACGTTGGACACGGAAGGGTTCGGGGGGTTCAAGACGAAAGTCAAGGAGATGCTAGAGAGTAGGGAGGAGACAACCCTTCGGAAGAAGGTACGAAGCGAAGACCACTTGGAGATATACGGGAAGTTGAAAGAAGGGATAGGGATGAAGAAGTACTTGGACGGCCCCATGGACTATGCGAAAAAGCTGAAATTGCAATTTCGAGTAGGCGATCTGGACTTGCCAGAACGGAGGAAGAGGTATACCAGCCGTAGGAGAGAGGAAGAGGAGGATAGACACACATGTCCATGTGGCAAATCGGAGGAGAGTAGACCCCACATAGTTGGGGAGTGTGAGTTGTACAGGAAGGAAAGAGAGGATCTCGAGGAGGAAATGAGACAGAGAGGGTGTGACATGGACAAGTTTGGTAAATTAGACAACAGCGAAAAAACGATCGCGATAATTGGGGATAGATGGTGGGCACAAGAGGCCCTAGAGGACGGGGATAAGATGTGCAAGAAATTTTTATGGAGTTTGTGGCAGAAACGTAAAGAGCTCCCAAATGTTGGTGGTGTCTCTAGTAGCTGTAGGAACGGTGCTCCGTCTCGAAAGGGACGCGTGGTCAATGGTCAAATGACTACGGCAAGCAACAAATGAGTACCCCCCCCCCCCCCTCGCTATGGGCCATGCCTAAGCAACAGCCTTGCCGAGGCAGCGAGGGGAAGAAGGGAGATTATGTTGTATAGGCTATCGATGCTGGTCTTAAGAAAAATTGTTGTTGACAGTGATGACAAGCGCGAAGGCCACAACACCCCCACACACCCCCACACCCACCTCGCTGAAACTTCCCGAGGGTCGCCACTCTACCGTACCAATGACACACACCATTTCAACGATCGCCGTGTCTATACGTCCCCCGCTCAACCTCCTGCTCTCCGTCGCGTATCCTTCACCGTGGATGTAAAAAACTGTGTCGTTCCGTCGCTGGCAGGCTGTTGAGGACGAGTTGACGAGGTCTGCCTCTTCCGGTGCTGCTGTCGGGGAGGCGACGATAGAGGCCGAGCACCGCATCATCGAAGAGCTGGGGCCGAAGCGGAGGCTCCTGATGGCCGTCAACGAGAGCAAGGGGAGGCCGGTGGGTGAAGCACGCACGATGCGATCGGCGACCCGAGCGAGAACGCTGGGCGAAGGGGGTGTGCGTTCATGCCGCACGGCAGTGATGGGTGCCGCCGGCTGGTGCAAGTGGCCCTCATGCATCGCTGCGTCTTGTTGTTTCCGTTTTATTTGTTGTCAGCGGGGGCCCAAAATAGTCGTTTCGTTGGTGCTCTGTCCTTCCAGTCCGGCGTGTATTTCCCTCGTGTTTCAACATATACGGCAAAAGAGGACAAGGCAAAAAACACCACTCAAGATGTTATTTCGCGCACGAAGTACCGCAAACTCGTGAACAAGTTGTGCCCGGACGCTGGTGGTGTCACTGTATGTATCGGCATCTTGTCTGAAGAGGGATGCATACCGTGGCCGTTGGTTAAATCAAAACCAGTTGCAAGCAATAAGATATGACCCTCTCCCCTCTCACCCCTTGTGGTTACGCCTTCAGGGTAGTACAAGTGCCCTCGTTTTTTTTTTTTTTTATCGTCGCGTTATGTTTCCTTCGGGACGTCAATTCTTCCCAAACACCTACGGTTGTATTTTTTGACACACCGGCCGGAGTCGCACAGGAGGTCACATGGGGTGTCTCATTGTGTCGGCCATCATGTCATTGGCTTTCGTCCCGCTGAATCCCCCCCCCCCCCCCCGCGTCCCTCAACCGCAGAGCCCCGCCGAGTGGTCGGACGTGGGCTACCTGTACAGCCTCGGGGACTATGTGTACGCCCACGAGAACATGGGTCACGTGGAGAGCATCGCCGCCCGGCGGCACGACCCGAGGGCTAAGCCGATCGAGCAGCTCAGGGCGGAGACAGGAGAGGTGGTCAAGGTGCGACGGTTGTTGTTGTTGTTGTTGTTGTTGTTTCGCTGCTGCTGCTGCTGCTGCTGCTGCTGCTGCTGTTGCTGCCGTTGGTTAGGGTATGCTTTTGGTTGTGGTTTTGTTTCGCGGTTGGCGGGTGTTCGAGGAAGCCTTCTACTCCCGCACTCGCCCACGCCTAGCGATGTTTGGGGCTTGCTTCTTTCCTCGCTACCGCCGCTACCGCTGCCGCTGACAGGTGTGGCCGTCCATGACCGCCGCTGCGGCTGAGCTGAACGTCGGGGTGTCGGCGCTGTCGGCGTGTGTGAACGGCATCACGGCCCAGGCGGGCGGTTGGAAGTGGCGCTTCGCCTCCAAGCACACGGCCACGGCCCTCAAGATGGGGGTGAGTCATGTATGCATACACACTTTACCCTAGAGCGGCCTGGTCTGATGTGGGTGTCGGGGAGAACAAACACTGGTACATCCCAGGGCCTGCCGAACGAGGGTAGAAACTGCAGATAATATTTCCATAGGTTGCAGAAGATCACCCGCGGACCGATTTTTAAAGCTCGACTGTGCGCTTCTCTAGAGAAATTTCCGATTCCACGTCACGGTCGACGAGGGAAAGGGATGGCTGAACCCTTGTCGCGAGAAAAACCAAGGCAAGCACCGCAGGGGGGAGGTTGGGCAATGAAACAAACAACGAAAACAAACAAAAAGTTCCTGTGTGACCTTCCTCTTGTGTGACCCGGGCTGATACACCAGATATATACGTCGAAAGGCCTACAGACTGGCGCCAGCATAGATGGGATGAACGCACACACATTCACCCTTCTCACGGCCGTTGTATTCGGAGTACAGGGCGGAATATTTTTCTGTGGCAGAGCCGTTTGACCAGTGTTGATGAGGGCACGCACAAGGAATTCATGCGGCAGAGCCCCTCGACTTGAGTGTTTGGAACATTGTATGTTTTCTCGACTGTTTACTTTTGACTATATGCAAGGCGCCTCTCTAGCCTGTGTTGAACACTGTTCCTCAGCGTTGCCCGTTCCACAATCCGCGTCACTTTATTGACACATTTGTCCTGCGTCGTCAGCTGCCGTCTGTAGGCCTTTTTCGAGTTTCGAATATGTGCCTTGTTATAGGTTGATTTGTTTTGGGGTTTCAAGTATCTTCGTGACCATCCGATGACCGGCCGAACTATCGATAAGGTCAACCTATTCACCGGTTACCGACAGAAGGCTGACTAGCCAACTTCCTTCAAATGCAAAAACAAACAATCGTAATCGTCAGGTGTACCGCAAGGGAAGGGTGGCGGACATGTCGGCCGGCCCCGGGGCGTACCTCGAGCCCGAGGCCGCGGCCGCCCAGATCGCCGCGGGCCGTCAAGGGCGCGGGTTCGACAGCGACGACGAGCAGCTGGTGTTCGGCGATAACGCCATCACGGTTCCGCCGAAGGCAGAGGCCATCGAAGCGGCCAAGAAACCACCGGAGGGCGAAAACGGAGAACCCGCGGCCGCGCCTGACGGTGCGGGTCCCGTGGATGCGGAAAATTCCGCCAGCGGCGGCCTCAAGGTCGATCCCAACGACCCAGACGCGCAGAGGCGGTTCCAGCAGCAGGGGGAGCACGGCGCCGCCGCCGCCGCCGCCGCTCGCGAGCAGGAGATACGGCGACTGGCTCTCCTCGCCAGCGGGGGCGGAGAGATGATGACGCACGACGGCCGCCCGGTGTACGACAACATGGCCGGCGGCGCTGCCGCCGCCGCTCTTGCAGAAGGGTACGGCGGAGCAGGGGCCGCCGACCTCGGTTACGACGGCGACGGTGGCTATGGGCGGGGGGGGAAGCAAGAGGCCGACAGCGATAGCGCCGGCGCCGCCGACTCGGACCAGGATTCGGATGAGGAGGAAGGCGTGGACTGGGACGATTCCGCGGACGAGGACGTGGACGCGGCGACGGCGGCGGCCATGGAGCAGGCGAGGATCGGCATGGCCAGGGCGGCCGCGAGGGAGCTGAGGGAGAGCCGAGCCACGAGGTAGGTGGGGCCGGGACGGCGCGGCGTTTTTGTTGTTGTTGTTGTTGTTGTTGTTGTTGTTGTTATTGGCGGCCGGGGATGGTGGTTGTCATTGTTTGTGGCGGCGGTGGCGGCAGCAGCAGCGGCCGTGTGTGTGTGGGTAGTGTGGTGGTGGCGCGGTGGTTGTGGGGGAGATTGTGTGTCATGTTGTTTGTGGTGGTGGTGGCGTGGCGGCCGTGTTTGTGGGAGTGGTGTCGGGGCGCGGTTGGGGAAGATGGTGTTTTGCTTGGTGTTTGGTGGTGGTTGCGGCTACGATGGCGGCTATTTAGCTACGATGGTGACCTCGTTCTCGTGGTGGTGGTGCTGGTGGTGGTGCGGTGGTGCGGTGATGCTAGAGAGGTTTGGTCGTGTCTTGTTGTCTGCGGTGATGGGTGTCGGTGGTGGTGTTGCCGTCCGTCCTTGCTCCCGGCGATGGTTTCGTTCCTCCCGCCCTGTTGCGATACGAGATTGAGTTTAAGGAATGCAGCATGCGACGTGTTTCCACGGGCAAGCAGGCAAACCCAAAGAAATCCTATTCGATTTGGATCCAACCCTTTTATGTACACACGCATCGAAGAGATCGGGCGTGTGCTTACAATATGCAATTACTAACAATCATCCAACGATCGGACGCTTCAATTCAAAATGCACACCATAACAACAGGGCCCAGATGATGGAGTGGCCTTACAAGGATGGCAAGGTTCCGGACTTCAAGAACACGAACGAGCTGCGGGACTACCAGCGTCGGGGCGTGAACTGGATGCTGTCCTGCTGGAAGAAGAAGAAGCGGGGCTGCATCCTTGCCGACGAGATGGGTCTCGGGAAGACGGTGCAGGTGGGGCTGCGTTTCCAGGTCTCTCGTGCGTGTTGTTGTGGTCTTCGCGTTATGAACCGTTCCCTGCCTCTTCTCAGCAGTGTACCTTGTACCGGTCCAAGAAAGGGACACCTCTCAAGGAACGCAAATGAAAATGGGCCCAGTTAATCTTCAACTGCGATAGCACATGGGTTGTGTGCGTGGACACTGACCGCGTTGTCCAGCTGACCGAGGGCAGGACATCGGTCTCAGTGCGGCCGTAATAGCTTGTACAGGCTACCATGATCTTGGGTTCCGTGAGGGGGGGTCTGGCGGCGGGAAGCTAGCGTGTTGTGCGTGTTTTGGTTTCTGTTTTTCTGCCGGTCTGCTTCTTTTGCCACACCAACCCGTATGCGTCTTGATGTTCGGACCACTACGGTATGTACCAACGAGGAGCTCACGGCTTGAGCAATTTGGGCTATCATCCGCGGCGGTGGCGATATCCGCAGTTTTACGCACCCCTCCCTGCCTCCCCCGCCTGCCGTCGCGCAACGGCCCGACTAAACAAAAAAACAGGTGGTGGCTATGCTCAACTACGTCTTCAGCAACTCGGAGCGTGAGCGGGGTCCCTTCTTGGTAGTGGTGCCGCTGACGACGATCGAGCATTGGCGCAGGGAGGTGGAGGCGTGGACGGACATGAACCTCTGCATGTACCACGACAACGGAGGCAGGGACATGCGGGACCTGATTCGCGAGTACGAGTGGTACTACTCCGGAAGGTGAGGCGTTCGCCGACCCGAGGCGGTCGAGGGGCGTGTCGAGCCGTGGCGATGGCAGATGCTGAGCGCGCGCGTGCTCGGAGTGAAATAGATGCCATTTCCACGCCGAAAAATTGAAAGTTTGGGTCGCACCCCCGTTAGTCACCCCCGGCAGGCTAACGCCCCGCCCTTTCTCCCTTTCAAGGGGTGGTACGCGACAGATGAAAAATGCAGGGACTGCAGCCCCCCCCCCTTTCGGCCCCCCCCGGTGTTTGCCATCGGGGTTGGGTTTTCGTCGCCTGGCAACGACGTTGTAAAACAAGCCCCCCCCCCCTCGGTGTTTGCCATCGGGATTGGGTTTTCGTCGCTTGGCAACGACGTTGGTAAACAACATTTCACTTCGTGAACTCGGCAACCAGGTTACCGGTTTTTTTGTTTGCGGTAACCATACTGGTGGTCGAGTAGATCATGTTGTGCGGGGTCGAGAACCTTCACTCCGCGCAAAGGGGGATGATCGCACCACGTTGTGTTAAAATGGTAAAGCATCCTCGAGGCAGTTACACAGTGCTTATAACTGTCCCTGGAAGTGCAAGCACCAGAAAATATATTTAAGTCATACGCAGCTGTCATCCGTACGCAAGGAAGTAAGCACAAGATGCCGAACACCCTCAGCAGGATGCAGTGCACCCTTAATTTTTTTTTTTTTGTCTTCACATCAAATCACGCTCACAGCACTAGTGCCGTTTACTCCAACCCGTGGTCACACAGAAGAGCCCCTCTCTCCCCTCCCCTCCTGCGGTACTTTGCCGTCGATTTTTAATGAGAGAAGAGTTCCGCACTCACTTCCCTCTGTGTACACACGAACTAGCGCCATCCACTCAGCAAAGTACCGCAGGAGGGGAGGGTAGAGAGGAGCTCTTCTGTGTGACCACGGGTTGGAGTAACTGGCACTAGTGCTGTGAGCGCTGATTTGAAGTGAAGACAAAAAAAAAAATCCACTAGGGTTGCGGAAGCGAGAGAAAAGCTCACTTTGCAAGAAAAGCTCGCTTACGCCGGGACTCGAACCCCTGACCTGACCTCTAGAAGGTTTCGAGGATACCAACTAGACCACCGGGGCATCCTATGCTTCATGCGACTCGCCGAATACCTCACGGCACTTCGCGCTTGGTGATGTGAGAGCCTGGTCCGGTGAGAACCCGGCGTGCTCCGTCCCGGCTTTGTAGGGATGCGAGGTCAATGGTCTAACGACTACGTCATGCACGACTACGTAGATGAGTACCCCCCCCCCCCCCCCCCCCCCCTTTCCCTAATGTTGGTTGGGGGCCAAACCCGGGGGGGGGGGGGGGCACATTAACCGGGGGGGG